GTGTGTGTGTGTGTGTGTGTGTGTGTGTGTGTACATAACAGGAAGGGTACATTTCTTGGTGCACATATGGAGATCAGAAAACAGCTTTGTGGTTTTTTCCTTCACCATTTATGTGGGGTCCAGGGATTAAACTCCGTCACCCACCAGCACCTTTACCCACTGAACTGCTTCACATAGGTTTTAAGCCTTCTGTTAAGAAGTATAGTGTTATTCTGGCGTGTTTGACACGCTAAGTAATGAGTTTCTCTTGCTGCTTTGTTTCTTTTTTGCCAGCTTCAATATTTTAAAAATGGTCTGTCTCAGAGAAGTTCTTTTCTGGCCATGTCTACTTGAAGTTGTACATTGCTCTTGTATTTATCCATCCCTATCTTTCCCCACATTTGGAAATCCTCTTGTTATAATTGCATGAAGTGGGTGGGTTCTCTACTTAGCTTAGTTCTTCAGCTAATTCTTTATTGGCCAGTGGTATCTCTCTCAGCAGCTTTTGTCTCGCTATCTAGTGATGAGAAATAAGTCAGTTGTTTACGGTTCCAGATTCTTCATGGCAGGAAATTGTGGCTGCAACATTTCTTGAACCTCAAGCAGGAAATACAGAGAGAAAACTGTGCGTGGTGTGTGATTTTAAAATCTCAATGTCTGTCCCAGTGATTACTTCCTCCAGCAAGGCTGCATCTACTATGCCTACCAAAAAGTTCCATCAATTAAAGACCAAGTGTGTAAATATCTATGTCAATGGGGGAACATTCTCACTAAAACCACCACAATATTCTATACTCAAAGACAGACAATATAAGTGTCAACTAATTAGGCATCTCCAGGACACAGTAACTTTCCTTTAAAGAGTAGGATTTAGAAATGGGACAAGAGAGGAATTCTCCAGTGAGGAAACCTGGCAGACACCCTCTCTACCAAACAGGCAAGGTCAGTGTCAACAGTGATAAGTGATGAATAGTGTGGACACTTGCAGTGAGGGCATGTACTGTTTCTCCTAAATTCCTCCTCTCACAAGCCATAACGCTTTTTGATTTTTGAGAAAAAAAAAAAATCTAAAATGTACTAGAAGAACTTTCTGTAAAATGTATGACCAGCATTTCCCAAAACTGTTAAGGTCATTAGAAATAAGTAAGAAATTATCAAAGCTAATACAGCTAAATGTTTGTGACATCCTATGTTTGATTCTGAAACTGAAAGAGCACATGATGTAAAAGCCAAGGGACTCTGACTGTAGTATAGACTTTAGTTAAAAATGTATCAGCATAGGCTCATTAACTAATACAAATATACCACTGTGTGAGATGGAGAGATGGGAGGTGAGGGGAATCCGGAGGAGTTGGGAGTACAGGAAACGTTGATAAGAGTAAATTGTCTTGCTGGGCGTTGGTGGCGCACACCTTTAATCCCAGCACTCAGAAGGCAGAGGCAGGCAGATCTCTGTGAGTTCAAGGCCAGCCTGGTGGTCTACAGAGTAAGTTCCAGGACAGGCTCAAAAACTACACAGAGAAACCCTGTCTGAGGAAAAAAATAAAAGTAAATTGTCTGATTTAAAAAAAAACTAAAATGCATTGTGGAAATTATATAGTTATAAAAGCCCTACTGAAACATGATTATTAAAAAAAATAATAAATGAGGCCTGGAGAGGTGACTCGGGGCTTAGGAGCACTTGCTGATCTTGAGGAGGACCAGGTTTTGGCTGTCAGTGTGTACATAAGGTAACTTAGTTCCACAGGGTCTGTGACTCTCTAATGGCTCTGCACATCTGCAGTTCACCTGCATATGCCCAGTCCAACATGAATGCAACATGAAAACCAATCAAAATATTTTTTAAAATAGCACCAAAAAGTTCTTGAATTTCTGCTCTTGTAAATATTGTGCTAAAGCATTTTATCATGTTTAATATTAACGATTATAAAATAATTGATGTGATTTTCATCTTCTAGGTGAAGATTGAGATGTAAGTTAAGTGAACTTTACTTATTTTGGGAAATTTGGTGTATTTCTTTTTAAATACCTACAAAATCCAGTGGAGGTCTGGGTACATGAATTATGTTGTTCTAGGTGTAGGCACAAGTAGATAGAACAACCCAAAACTTCCACAGACTTGAATACCAATTTCTATGTAAAACTCTAAAGCCCTTCTAATTTTACTCTTCCTAAATTCTCATTCAGTCACCTCTCTCCAGTGCTTCATTTTCCTACTTCTATTAGGTATATTTTAAAATTGGTTTTCTTTTATTGAAAACAGATTTCCTTTTTCAGACAATATATCCTATAACCCGATTATAGTTTCCTTCTTGCTCCTCCCTCCCTTCCCTCGCTCCTCATCCATTCCCTTTCTGTCTCCCCTTAAAGAACAGGGTTCTAAGTTACAACAACCACATATGACAAAATAAAATAGAATAAGATGAAGCAAAAACAGTCATATCTAAGTTGAAGTTAAGTGGCTTTCTAAAGGCAATATCTAGTTCATTGGGGAAGAAGTATTCTAATTTAAAACAGCTAACTCTATAGGCCATATTTTTCATACTTCCATAACATGTTAACAGGCTTTGTTCACATGAAGAATGTTTGTTGGGCATGTTTCCAAAGCTGGCAGTTATCAAGCAAACAGGCTGCAAAGGAATAAAGAGGAAATTCATGCTTGCCAACAGATAAACTTATTTCTAAAGCAGACTAAATATTAAGGTTTGAAATAAAGGCAGAAGAAATTCAAGAAGTTATGTTAGTGAACAGTTAACAGATGCTTCCCCCCAAATCCTCACTCTTGAAATTCTTCCAGAAAGATTGAATATGGTCAGGTGCACAAAATCCACTGGGCAGTAACACATAATACTATCTAATGTGTAAACCCTGTTAAGAGCCAGAATAATTCAATAAATTACAAGGAGGGTAGGATATTGAATAAAGTGCCTGAGATGGTCATTTACACACTGTTTCCACTACACTTTCTCTTTAGAACTGACCATTTCTTTGACTATAACCCGTAAGTCTCACAGACAGCTCAACTCATAATAGGGGCAGTTTCTAGAATGTGGGACTTGGACGGCAGGAAACAATAGATTTGTTTTTAGTACTTTGATCTGCCATTCAGTGTACATTCTATGTTCAATGGCAGCAAGGACAAGAACAGCACAGTTCACTTTTAAAGCAATTTTGTAAGACAGCAACAACCATTACTTTCCTTTTTTTTTTTTTTTTTTTGTCTAAATAATGCACTCATACTATACTCACTCCTCACACTTGCGAGGCACTTTGTAGGTCACATATAAGTGTGAATTCAGCAGCTGAATGATTAGTGTGTCAATTGTTTTGCATTTCTCAGCTTTTTAATGTCCATTATATTATCAGAATAATAATATAAAACATACATAATTGATGAAGTTGCATAATCAATAAAATGAATGCAAAGAAAATTGTGTTTATAAGGTGAATGTCTTTGTGAAGTGCTACTTAAAGGGAAATCACCCGATGAAACTGCAATCAGAGTACATGTCAGAATCAGGGCACAACCATGTTCCCTAGAATCCCAGCCCTTAGGAGGCCCAGGAAGGAGGACCACAAATCCAAGACCAGACTGGGCTATCCATCAAGACCTTATCTCATGAAACCAAAATCAACCAACCAAATAAATATACACGAGTGAAGTTTCAGTAAGAGTGACCCCCACAGGCTCATTAAAGGAATGCTGGTCCCCAGTTGGTGGAACTGTTCGAGAAGGATAAGGAGGTGTGGCGCTGTAGGAGGAGGTGCGCCCCTGGGGACTGGGCTTTGAGGCCATGTGGCTGTTTCACAACGTGAGCTCTCAGCTACTGCTCCAGAACAATGCCTGCACGCCTGCCTATCTGCTGCCATGCTCACCACTGTGCTAGCCACGGGCTCACCCTCTGAAACTGTAAGCCTTCACGTTTCTCCTGTAAGCCTTCACGTTTCTCCTGTAAGCCTTCACGTTTCTCCTGTAAGCCTTCACGTTTCTCCTGTAAGTTGCCTTGGCTATGATATCTCATGACAGCAAGAGAAAAGTAACTAAGAAGACATGTCAGAGCAAGGCAAAGAGAATAAAGAGTTAAAAAATTGACAGGATGTCAGATTTTTCTCATACATGCCTAATTCTTCTGTTGTGCAGATTTTGTAAATTTTGAAAGTATAAAAGTGTCGAATGGCTGTCAGAGACTGCAGAGGGCTCCATTTCACCGACGTGTGTCAGAGTCAGGGCCTTTTGCATATCTCTTCCTGTGTGCTGAGGTCAGCAGTTGAAGGGCAGTGTGCATGCATGATGTTTAGTGTGCTGACGTCTACGCGTACGAGTTTTCTGTGACTCTGAATTCTCCATGCTGCTTTCTCTTGGTGCCAGTTGAAAAGAACCAGGGGCTGCGATGTTGTTGTTGACCCTGCTGCTCAGAAGACATAATGTTGGAAGACTGTCCTGCTGATTTGTTGGGGACCTGTGACCCAGAACATGTCTTTGGCCCCTTTCTATGTCACTCTATCATAGCCATAGTACTTTACAACACACCTAATTTAAGGCTGAACATGCCCTTTAATGTTGGCCAAAGAAGTATGTGGTTTTGTTTCTTTCTATATTTGCTTACTAGAGATATTCTGGAGAGAAAAGATGAGAAAACCATATTTATTCTTTCATGAAAAAATAAGACCTGCTTTATTTCAACCAAGGCTAGGCACTAAAGAGTATGCATTACAGGTATTTGCTATAAAAAGACAATATAAAAAAGATAAGTTACACCTTCATTTTGCCAACATAGCAATAAGTACTAAACGTGGGGAAACTTAAGGCAATGTTATTTATGAAATGGTGACTAGCATCAGTGCAGAAGATTGGAATGGCAGGATTTTGTTAAATTCACTTGCTTCAAGACACTTCTTCAGACATAAGGTTATCTTAAATTGATACCGTTCTTATTTCACTTTAGGTTATGTTATAAAGACTTTTTAAATTATTTAGCTGTGACTATTGATAAATGTATTGCTGCTTTTTTATTTCAAAGGTCTCTGAAGAAATTATCATGGACTACTATGAGAAATATAAGCCTAGAATGAATGAACTGGAGGCATTTAATATGGTAAGTCATGTACATATGCATATACATATATGTATGCGTGTGTGTGTATATATAGTTCTGTGTGTGTATTATTCTGTATTTTTTGCTACACTAGAATAGTATTCTATTAAATATTATTATGGGCCAATCAGCCTGTTTTGTTGCTGTTGTTGTATGCATGTGAGAGACAGAGAGAGTGTGTGTATAGACATGGACATGCACATGTATGTGTGTGCATGTGTGTGTGCGTGTGTGTGTCTGCACGTCTGTGTGTTTGTAGGAAAACTATCTGGGATGATTTCCTATTTCAGAACTATATTAGGTGTTAGTAATGTCATAAAAAGAGCACATGGTAGATTTCTATTAAAGTGCATCATAAATGCACAGAGCAATGCTTCACAGTCCTTTGAACACATGTTGATCTCCAGAGCAGTTATTTCACGAGCTTTCCATTTAATGAATTGCATTCTTAGGTCTCCTTTAAAAGCTTTCCATCCCATGATTGCTTCCTGGATTCCACCTCGTGTCTCTTGGAGGGCATTCTTTCCCTGTTCCTAGTAAAGAAAAGCTTTTGATCTGTAGTACTCACTTTCCGATGATATACAGTAGGTATTGGGTATCTGACGTATGTGAAGTTTTGTAGCTAGTTTCTCAAACATTAATGTTATAGCTAATAAACTATTAAAATACCACTAGCTTTTCTTTTCTTCCAGTTGAAAGTTGTCCTGGCTCCTTGCATAGAAACCCTGATTCTTCTTGATCGACTTTGTTACCTGAAGGAACAGGTATCATGTTATTTTTCAGAGCCTAACAAATATCTTTATTAGGTGGAAAAAAAAAAATAAGTAAAATCATATAGCTGGGATAAAGGTATTTCACACAAATTAGTAAGATAATGTCTCTCATACCCTATTACTTTTAATATTCACTCTATTTCCTGCTTAATATGTAAACATATGTACAGCAGATGTCTTCAAAACTTGCTGTAATAAACTTGATTTTTTAAAATTATGTGATAGTTAATATTCATAGACAGTGAATACAAGTAATCATATGTGATCTTAGAGCCAAAATTAATCATGGCCAGGCATAGAAGATCCTATGTACACATTTCACTTTGTAAGGCTTGGTCTTTTAATGTGCTTTGGATATATATGTTCTATGATGTGCAAATATCTTTCTAATCAGTGAGGAGTATTTCTTCTCTCCCACAATCTTTATCATGTTGTCTGTGTTATATGGTCTACTGAGCTGTGGTCAATAAATTGTTTTGAACTGTGTAATCCCTTTCATAGAATCAACTTATTGTCCACTATAAATCCTTTATTTTAACAACTTTATTTGGATACTTACTGATTTTTCTTTTCAAAAGACTTCTTTAAATAAATGGATTTTATTAAATGTGTTTTAATTGGTGGTTTTACAGATTAAGGCAATTTTTAAGTATTTCAATAATACACTTCCTTTAGCCACCGTTTAATTCCAAATCCCTACAAAACCTTGATCCTCAAATAGGGGGTGATACACTACCTATTTAAATAGGTACTTATTTCCTTTAAAAAAAATCCAATTGATCCAGGTAAATAATGAAATAGAATAGCACACAACAAAATAAATAGGTCTAAATGGAATGATACAAGCAAATGATTATTCATTTTAAATATTTAAATGTCTTATGAAAGTAGTCATGTTTGTTAAAAATGTAAGGTATATAATATAGAAAAGTAAAAGAAGTAATAATCCCACCTTTCAGACTTAACTATTGAATACTATGTATATTTTTATAATGATGTCACACATGATTATAGATTGTGTATATGTGTGCATATTATTTTCACTTTAAAACTAATAAAATTTAAAGCGTGTAATATATATATGTGTGTGTGTATATATGTGTGTGTGTGTGTGTGTGTGTGTGTGTATATATATATATATATACATCTCACTTTTTCCCTATCTGTGCAAGGTGAATAGTGATTCACCATAAAATTCTTTTAATTCTTTTTTTAAAATACAGTATTTGTTATTGGCTTTGTCCAGCTTTTCTACATTGAAACAAAGAAAACTTTGGCAGTCGGTCTCTATAAGTGTTTATTTTTTCAACATAACTTCATGAAAGTGAAATTGTAAGTGTTAATTTTCTTTCAGAAAAACATCTCAGCCTTTGGTGTCTACTGACCCTTCCTATTACAGTTTGTAGTTTGATTCTTCTGTGTAGTCTGACTCATGTTGCTTTTGTTTGCTCAGAAGTGGCTGTATATGTAAATCCTTTATCAATTTTCAGGAAGATGTAGCGTGGTGTGCTCTTGTGAAGCTGTTTGATCCTGTTCAGTCTCCCAGATGCTACGGTGTCATTGCCCTCAAGAAACAAAGTGACCAAAGCTGAAGCAAGTGGCTTGGCAGCTTGTTTGGGGACACACCTCGAAGATTACATTTCTAAACATTTATATCCTGTCCTATAAACATTTTTGAATACTTGATATATTTTAAATAATAAAAATAATGGCTACATAAGATCATAATCAATTCTTCCATTCTCAAAGCATTCATTAATACAATAAGAACTTATGAAAAAATTATGACCAACATTCCTGAGTGTGTCAGTAGCAGATTGTAATTCTGGTTCAATATTTGGGACCCTTAGCATTTACCACACGTCACATTTTGACCTTTATTTGCTTAAAGGAAAATGAGTCCAAATGTTGATGTTATCAAACACTGAGTATATGTGTTTTCAGAACATTTCAGAATAGTTTCTACATTGCCATAATGGGGAGATGTACATTTAAAGAGACTCACAAGCAGGTAAGTTGTAAATATGCCTAATACAGAGCGTATTTTACACTGTTTTAACATGAAGTACATTTGGCAGTATTGTATTTCTTTAAGGAAATGTGTATCTTATGAGAAAGTATTCACTTTCAGGATTCTTTAGGTTATTTATCCTACTACGATGTAGGGATGGGGTGATGCTCAGGAGAATTAAGTTGTACTCTATAAAAAGCCACCTTGAGTGAACCAGACTGAATGGGAGACGCCTCCGCCCAGTGTAGAGCAAAACACCAAGTCTCTGGTGCACACTAAAGAGCAGGACAGCTGGGCTAGATAGGGCCTCCTGGGTGCTCAGCTGGAGAGCACTCAGAGTCCCTGGAGAAGAATAGTAATGGCTTTGTGAATGTTTGAGCCTTTCCCTAGATGAGAAGGAGTTTACTTCTTTTGGTTTTCCTGTGAGTTTCTGTTGGAATACATTGCTGGCTGGTTAGAGGTCACAGTCTGCCATAAGCCAGCAACTTTTTCTCTAAGCTAGGCAACATAGAACTCCCCCCCCCCCCAGCAAAGCTTCCTGCTCTCTACCTGCCCTTATCTGGAGTCTGTCCCTGGGACTGAGTGTATCTGAAAGCTGTCTCATCCCTGAACCAGATGCCTGATTCATCTTTAGCTTGGCCTTTGGCATACATCCCTGCTAAGGAGACTTGTGCTAAGGAGCTCTGGTATGGTACCCTATTGCTACATAATGAGCCTTGTGATAGAAGCGTGCCACTTAATGCAAATTAGGGCTTTTGCCCAGGCTGTCCAATCTCTAGCTGATGCAAATGATTAACCCGGACTTTCCTAGGGAGCTACTTTAAACTACCTGTTATTTGATAAAAAGTCAAATGTCTGCGAGGAACAAGTCAATTTTGAGGAATCCCTGTACTAGTCATATACTCTAATGCTATCAGTATTTTATCAGTCCTACTTCACCTTTATGAATATACATACACACATACCTCCACCAAAACTTCCCCTGCTAAAGAATTGTAAAGAAAATTCCAGACAGCTGGTGAGTTTTCATAATTAATCTGTTATAAATTCCAAAACCTAGGAATCTTTCTGTGATGTTTGTAGGTGTTCTCATTCACATATCTTTGATTTGTTAAGAAAACCTTTATATCAGGTCAATTTAAACTGAATTAGTCAAGTTCAGATTATTGTTTACAGATGTGAGATCGTTGCTCTGACTACATCTTTCACATTTACTCGGGTTCTGCGGAGGGGAGTTGGTAGGTGCGTGTGTGCCACAGCAGTGTGTGGAGGTCAGAGGACAACTTGTGGGCGTCAGTGCTGCCCTTCTACCATGAAAACGCCAAGACTGGAACTCAAGCCATCAGTCGACTAGGAGTGCCTGTAACCTCTGGGTCATCTCACTGCCTTGTTTATTTGTTTGCTTGGTTTGGTTTTATTTATAGTGGTTAGTGTCGTGATTTCTCATGCGTCACACCTTCTCTGGCTGCCTTGTGTCGGTGCTAATAGTATTGATGAGTTCCTTGCAGCTGTGGACCTAATTAACACAAACTTCCTCCTTCAGCCTTCCTCTTAGTGGAGTGGTTGTGCCATATGCTCATCCCTGAAAACGCACGTACAAATAATATAAACAAACCAGGACCTAACCCAGGGGCACGAACTGGCTTTATGGATCCCACTCCCTATTGTGGGGTACCTTGCTCAGCCTTGATACAAGGAGGAGGGGTTTGGTCCTGCCTCAACTTGATATGCCAGACTTGGGGCTCCCGAACCAGTGAATTGGAGTTGTTTAGGGGGAAGCAGAGTTGAGGGTCAGGAGAAGGGGAGGGAGGGGGAACTGGGGTTGGATTGTAAAATGTAAAATAATTTTTAAATAAAAAATAATAATATAGGCCGAATAGGTTATATTTAGGAATATATAATATATATTATATATATATATATGTATATATATATATATATGCAATAACAACACAAACACACAAAAAAGCCATGAATTTGAAGGAGAGTGGGAGGATTATGTGAGAGGAGAGTTTGGAGGAAAGAGAGATAATAGAAAAATGCTTTAATTATGTTCTCAAAAATAAAAAGTAACCAATAAAGACAGATAACATTACAAACAATGCATTCATTTGCCATATTCCAGTTGGCTGGGTGAGAATATTCCTGATTTTACTTTAACAGCTTACCACTTTAGTAGTGCTAAAGTGCCTTTTTGTTTCAACATACTGTCCTTTTATTTTCTCATATTGCTTGCAATATGTAGCTATCTCAGAAGGAACAGAAAATCTAGCTAGCCTTTTCTTTCCTTTTGCAATTTTAGTTCTATAAAAATTTAACAATATTCTTGGCAACCTACAATGGATTCTTTGGATTGTTTTTCAGTGAATAGACAATACTTTAGAAAGGAACTCAAAAATGCTACCTATTAACTGCCCTATATTCTGAACACTTGAGACCTGTCTTTAAGGTACTTGGATTCTTGGTATATACATCTACAATATATTTTGGATAGGACTCAAGTATAAACCTAAAATTCATCTGTGAGTCATACGCATTTTTATACAGCCTGATAATAAATTTTTCTCAATTTTAATAATTTTATGCATAACACTTATTTGGCATGGAAATTTCTATGTATAACAGGTATGGCATTTCTATGTATGACAGTACTTTGAATCTTGGATCATTTCAGTTTCAGGCTTTTCAGGTTAGGAATGCTTAGCCAGAAGCATTGTAGTTTAGAGTCACATGATTTCAATTGCAGAAGTCAAAATGATTGAAATTGGGTAAGTAGCCAGACTCTTCAGTGTACCTCGATTTTCTCATCTATTAATTTTTTACTCATAATGGTGTTGTTATGAGTTTTATGATTCATCCAGTCAAAAGAGTCCTGTTAGAAACTCCAACCCCATGAAGGCAAATGGAGCCTTTGGAATGTGTTTAGGTCCTGGAAGCTCCACTGTTACAGATGAGCTGATGGGGGTGTTCACTCTGTCCATCTGTTCTCACCACTAAAGATATACTGAAAAGTCCCAGGCCAACATGCAACATCATAATGGACTGTCCAGCTTTCACAACTGTAGAAGAAGGAATTTGTATTGTATTTGAGTCTCAGGTATGTTTATAGCAACACAGATTAGGCTAGATGCTATGAGAATTGTACTCATACGTGTTACTGAACTCCAAGACAGCCATCAAAAAATGAGATTTAGTTTATTAGGACTCATTGCAGCAATAGAAATGTCCAGCTTGACAGTCTCATTAGTGTTGCTGAAGGAGAAGTCAAGAGAATACTTATGGGTACCTGAGTGTCTGGGTTTCTCTATAAAGAAGAGACCAGGCTTTGTAAAGGTCTAGACATTATTGTCCAGGATAAATAAATACAGCACCGCAAAGGTCTTGAAGAAACCCTTGATAAGTGAGCTCTTTACCAAGGCAAAAAGATTGTTTTTCTGAGATAAGTTAATAAATAGGAATTTCCTGAAACAAACAATGAGGTTCTTTATTGCTTTACAGTCTTATCTTTCCCAGGAAAAGTTTTCCTGTAACAAGCAAATAAATCATGGCGGTGCAGGTGGTTTCAGTTCTTAGACCCAGGAGCTCCATCACACTCA